ATAGAGAGTATCATAAACCAACATATGTAGGATTGTACAGTCATGTTGACAATATAGAGTATCATAAACCATTGTATATAGGATTGTACAGTCATGTTGACAGTAGAGAGTATCATAAACCAACATATGTAGGATTGTACAGTCATGTTGACAATATAGAGTATCATAAACCATTGTATATAGGATTGTATAGTCATGTTGACAGTAGAGAGTATCATAAACCAACATATGTAGGATTGTACAGTCATATTGACTATAGAGAGTATCATATACCATTGTATATAGGATTGTATAGTCATGTTGACAGTAGAGAGTATCATAAACCAACATATGTAGGATTGTACAGTCATATTGACTATAGAGAGTGTCATAAACCATTGTATATAGGATTGTATAGTCATGTTTACAGTAGAGAGTATCATAAACCAACATATGTAGGATTGTACAGTCATATTGACTATAGAGAGTGTCATAAACCATTGTATATAGGATTGTACAGTCATGTTGACAGTAGAGAGTATCATAAACCAACATATGTAGGATCATGCAGTCATATTGACAATAGAGAGTGTCATAACCAACAAATGTAGGATTGTACAGTCATGTTGACAATAGAGAGTGTCATAAACCAAAGTATATAGGATTGTACAGTCATGTTGACAATAGAATATCATAAAACAATGTTTCATCAGACAATAACCATCAAATTACTGACCCAAACTGAAGAAAGCTTTGCAACTAGTTGAAAATCAACTAGCCATCAATCTTTTGGCAGATAAGGTACCTCTAAACCAAAAGATGACCATAACAAAGCATAAGACATCAATATCGATAGCAATAACATGCAAATAATCAAAGGCTTATCACCTACAGTGAAAGACTAGAAAATAAAATGATTAGAAAATTAATTAAATTTTTCTCTCGAATATATGGTTAACAGTTGCAACAGATACATAAAATGAAGTTATTCTAGACATACAATTAATGACATCAAACCTCCATCAACTTATTGGTTTTGGTTCAAGAAATCAAACAAAATTAGCCCTAATTCAGATATTATCCTGGGTAGTTCATGTGTAAGGAAATATTTTCCAATATAATGATCAGAAAGTCCTCTTATTACATGTATTCATTGAAACCTAAAAACTGATTGTTTTTAGAACTGACTAAACATGCTATCAGGGATTTATGTTTCAGACTTCTAATCCATTGCACCATGACAAACAGACAAAAAGATTACCATGGACTTGCCCTTCCTATCTGAAAACAGTGGTAACTTTAGGTAAGTTAAAAAAATTATAACTGTAGAATCACAAATATAAAAAGACATGCAGAAGTAAAAAAATGAATATTAAAAAACAGAAAATCTGGTTTAATTAGTCTTTAGGCACCTTTCATTATCAGACACTTTCTTCAATAATTATGTTGCAAAAGTGGGTTCCACAATGTTTCACAATTGTAAAATAATGAATAGTCAATTCTGATACTCAAGTGTAAGCACACCAAGATAACTGAATACAAAATTTGTTCACAACATATCATTTACAGTACAGTTATAAAAGAATGAACAGTCCAATCTGCATGCAAGTATACAACCGAATACAATTTTTTTCTGGGTAGACTATCTATTTACAAAATACAGGTCATGAATTATTCCAACCTTCTCTATCCACAAAAAATTATAAATTTGCAGTAAAATGCAATATGTATACAGAACACTTGTAAAGAAATGTTACTTATAACCAAACACTATCAGTTTCTTTTGTTATTAATGATATACTATACCACAAGGTGAGATATCTCTGCATTATGGGAAAAAAATGACAATGAATATTTTTTTACAATGATATCTTTAGCTTTATATGTTATATATGTTGATAGAAATCTCTAGGTTTTATATCATCTAATATTCAATATCAAAATATTTTTCTCAAGACCTGAAACAAAATTAAATAAAGCCATTAAACATTTACAAATTAACCTAGTTGCTTCTCATACAAGAAACAAAAAAAAAGATTGATTACATACAGAAAACATTACCCAAAGCAAACATGATATTAATAAGCTGTGTATTGTACTTTAAAAAGTGGTATTTCATTACTTGATGATGATGGTACCTAAGAATCACGTTTCATCAGCTTAGCTAGACACTATACACTGTAATGATTCATCTCTATAACTTAAATCTGCAATATGAGTACAGGAATGAAGTAGGTTTTAGGTTAATGAAGAAAAAAGCTTGAATTATGTACAAAATAATCCATTAGTTTTTAACCAACATTTGTATACACAGTCAAGTGAAACCAAATT